TTATGCAGTGGTCACCATAATGGTAGCCATAATGGGAGAGCATAGGTTTAAGAGTATGGATAGAGGTAGAGAAGATGCTTACCCTGCATTTGGGAGCTGGGGTAAGGAGGAGAGGTGAGAAGAAAATACAGGAAGGGGAAGTTAGAGAAAGAGAGATGAAAATCATAGAGAGAAAAAAGGAGAGGTAGAGAAGGGGGTTAGAGGAATGAGAGAGAATGGACATTAGAGAGGAGAGGGGTGAAGAGAATGAAAAAGAAGTGACAGAGAGAAGAGGGAAAGGAGGGTAATGAAGTAGAGAGAAGGGGGAGGGGAGGGGAGGGAGGAGAGAGAAGGGGAAGGAGAGAGAGGGGGGGGGAGAGAGAGAGAGAGAGAGAGAGAGAGAGAGAGAGAGAGAGAGAGAGAGAGAGAGAGAGAGAGAGAGAGAGAGAGAGAGGTTTGAATTTCCCATCTGGAAGGGGAGAGGCAACGCGTCAGGGCAGAGTGATGGGAGGGATTGGAGGAGGGCGTGTTTAGCCGCGGCGGCGGCAGGCTGGGCTCGGAGAGCAGAGTTGCACTTGGCCGGGACCGGAGCAGGAACGGGAGGAGGGAAGTGGAGGCGGCGGCGGCGTCTGTGGGCCAGGCGGGATCGCTGCAGTGACTGGCGGGCGTCAGGGGCAGCCAGGTCAGTGTGAGCGGCGCTGGCGGGACTGGGCCAAGAAGAGACAAGAGGGTCTTGGCTTGGGGGGTGCTGACGGGACAGCTCCGGGAAGGGTTCAGAGCGCTGACTGGCAGACTACCTAGGAAAAAGAGCGAGAGGCCATCGGATTGTGAGGCCGAGTCAGGGGCCCAGAAGGGAAATCTCTCTCTAAGAAGCCTCTGCCCTCGAAAGGAAAGCTGTCCCCCCAACTCCAACCCCAATAGACCTAAGGTGACGGGGACCAGGATAGCATCCTTGGCCCTTAGTAGGAGCTCCAAAAAGCTAAAGGGGAGGGTCTCGCTATGAGCCACCCCCTCTCGAGGAGGGAAAAGTCACACATACACACACACATACACACACACGAGCGGGCGCGCGCGCGTACACACACACACACACACACACACACACACACACACACACACACACACACACACTCCAGACCGAAGACCGCAAGACGGCGGGAACCTGCAACCGTGGAAGGGATGGGGAAAGAGAGAGGAGGAGGAGGAGGAGGAGGAAAAGGGCAATGGGAGCAGCCGAGAAACTGAGTCTGGGCCCCCATCGGGGAGGGGCTTGCCCCAGCTACTGCAAAGTTTCCTACCGACTTTCCTGCTGGACCTGAGCAGGAGTCCCTGAGATCTGGACACCTCCTGCAGGAGAACCTCAGCTCTGGGTTTAGCGCGGCTGTCTCCGGGGAGATCTGTCTCTCTTCCACCTTTCAGCCAGATATATTTATCATGTTATCCCTATTCCCCCCTTCTCCCCCCCCCCACCCACCCCTGACACACAGAGTACATTCTGCCTGCCTGCATAATGGCTCCCTGCCTGCTCAGGATACCCCCTGCAATCCAACCCAACCACCTTCAGAAGACACACCCTCTCTCCCTCCATCCTACCCCCTCCAAAATTCCTCCTTCGTTCCCCAGTACAGTACACTTCTGCCTTCCTTCTTTCCAAACCCCCCCCACCATTCTCCCTCACCATAAAACAGCCCCTCCTTACATTTCCCTCCAAAGACACTCCATTCCTCTCAGCCCCCAGAACACTTCCCTCTTTCCCATTCCATTGGGACACTTGATTTCATTCTGTATATACTAGATAGGAGGAGAGAAAATCCTGAGGAAAATGTACCTGTCCCTTAGAGCCTAGATGGGTACTAGAATCCAGTCAGTAAAGGTATATCCCCCAGCCCTGAAGGTATATTCTACCTCCAGGGTAAATTTCACTTTCCCCTCCCCTCTTCTCCCTGTCTTCACCATGGAACCCCACCCTCAGTACTGACTGAATCCAGAGGTGACCTAGAGTGGGAGGAGAGGGCATTCAGGGACAGATACACCTCTTGATGGCTCTGCTCCTTGCCTTTGGATTTGGATTAGGATCTTCTGGGTGATGAACTAGCATAGTGGAAAGCCTGCTTGGAATCTGGAAGACCTAGGTTCAGATCCCAACTCCAACACTGGCTAGCTGTGTGACCCTAGGAAAGTAATTTCATTTCTTTGCCCCTCACTCTCCATGTTTGAAAAAATGGAGATAACACTTGCACTCCTTACTTCATAGGGTCATCGACATTGAGATGCTATAGAAATTGAAGCTATTATTTTTATGAATATCTGAAGGGCCTCCTAGCAGAAAGATATCAATGAAGCACTTGGTGATCCTGGATTGCAAGAAGCATTTGTGTGGATGTTTTTGGCATGTAGAAAATCTCACTCCAGAGCAGTGCAAGTCACATAACCTTTTCAGGCCTTGGCTTCCTCATCAGTAAACTCCTCATTTTACAGAATGGACTGTTGGACAATATAATTTCTAAGTTCACTTCCAATTCCCAATCCTATGATTTAACCTAAGGTTGTAAAATTTAGAGCTAAAAACAACCAAAATATCTTCTAGGCCAATCATTTTACAGATGAGGAAGCTGAGTCCCAAGAGGACAAGTGATTTATCCAAAGTCACAAAGACAGTGACAGAGAGAGGGACACTCCCTAACCCTACTGCCATCACTATCACTAGCTCCCTTAGCTCCTCTACATAAGGGGATAATGGGGTGAGAGACCTAGTGCAGAGGCCATGTATTGCCCAAATTGAAAGAATCAAGTTCAGACCTTGACCCTGACAGGTTCACAAAAACTCAGAAGAGCCAGCTAGAGGGGCCCCCTGGTGACATCAAATATAAATGTAAATATATGTATGTGTGTGTGTGTGTGTATGTGTGTTCCCCTATGAAAACACATGTATGCACACACTCAGACTCAAACATATCCAAAGATATACAGGGATTCATACACAGATTCACACATAATATATGCATTCAGACACATAGACATACAAATATAAATACATGCTTATACATATAGATACTGAGATTTACACATACAAAGACCCATCAATACATGCAAACACATGTAGCTATTGTTACAGTCATTCTGCTGGGTCTTTGCCATCATTTGCTTAGCCTCAAAGTGAGTTTGACCATCAAGGGTGTTCATGTCCTGCTCCAGCTCCCACCCCCTTCCTGCAGCTGCTGCTGCCACCATGAATTTTTGTGACTGATTCACCAGCCCTTCAGGACTCACTCCTTCAATGCTGCTGCACCCCAACTTAGGATTAATGCAGAACTTCTTATCTTCCCTCCATATCCATCAGAGCCCCAGACCTCATTTTTCTGTATATGCCTATGCCTTTTTGTTTATACACACATCTGTGTGAGTATATATGTATATGTCTGCATGAGCATGTGTACATGACTGGGTGCCTGTGGGTGTGAGTCTAAGGCTGGGTCTATATTTTTGCTGAATCCTGAGCCCCTATCTCTGATCAGGGGATAGTACTCAGTGTGGCCAGGAGTTACTAGGGTGACAGTAAAAGCCTATTGTCAAGATCCAGGGTGTCACTCATCACTGCTTTCCAAGATGTCCCTCCTTCAGAACTCAGGCCTCTACTCAAACTCTGGCAGCTTCCTCTCTTTCTTCCCACCTGTGCAATGACTCTGCCCCCATAAGAGTATAATATCACAGGACTTTAGAGTCAGAAGAGACCTCAGAGATCATCTAGTCCAACTCCCTTATTTTACAGATGGGGAAACTGAGGTCCAGAGAGGGAAACTGAACTGCCTGAGGTCACAAGATGAACTAGTGGCAGAGCACAGGTCTCCTGACTCCCGGCCCAGGGCTCTTTCCCCTGTCCTACTTCTAGAGTGAAAGTGGACAAGACTTCTGAAGACCCAGAAAAGAGAAGAAAGGTTTGGGCACCTAATTCCATATCTTCAGAACATGAAGAGACCTCAAAGGTCACATTGTAGACCTCCCACCTCTTGTAGGGATCCTATAGTCATCCAGACAGGAGTTATCCAGCCTCTTAGAAACCTCCAGGAGCAGTCAGTCCACTGACTCTCCAAGATCCCATTCCACCGTGGGACATCTAATTGCTAAGAAATTCTTTATATCCTTAAATATAGCTTAGCTCTGTCTCCTTGTAGCTTTTCCCAATTTCTCTTCTTTATGCCTTCTGGATCTAAGCAGAATGAATAGAATCTCTCTTCTACGAGGTAGCTCTTCAGCTAGGGAAAAGACGGTGTGTGCAACTGGAATGGCGTATGTCATGCAGAAGAGATGTATATCTGGGAGGATTCTGGTAATAAATTACATTTCTGTAGCACTTAAGATTTTGCAAAGTGCTTTCCCTTTATCACAGCCCTCTAAGTTAGGGAGGACAAGAATTATTACTCCGATTTTGCAGATGAGGAAACAGAGAAGCAACACAGGTAGGAAATGGCAGAGTCAGGATTAGAAGCCAGGTCTTCTGACTCCAAGTCCAGAATCTTTTCTACTACATAGCTGTTGCCATGAACCCCAAGAAAAATTATGTACTCTGAGGTAGGAAGCATTGTTTTGGAGCCTTGGGTGCTAAATTGAGGATCTGAATCCCTCAGTTGCTGATACAATATTAAAAAGCACAGAACTTGAATGCCAGAGACCTGGTTTTGGATCCCAGGTCTGACACGCACTGTCAGACCAGGGTTTGGATCCCAGGTCTGACACTCAATGTCAGACTTAACCTTTGGTAAGTCATTTCACTTTTTGGGGGACAAGTTAACTCATTTATGAAATGAAGATAGTAATCCTTACATTATCTACCTCACAGGGTCATTGTTGTTTAAGGAAAGCACTTTGTTAAATCTTAAATTACTACAGAAATAGAGATGGAAGTGATTATTTTTTCTGAGCCAAGTTGTATTTCTGTGGAAACTCTGTCTTTTGCTACTCTGTCTGTCCCTCCTGCCTAGAAAGGACATTTGTACCTAATCAGCATCATTTTTCCTTTCTAGGTGGCATTTTTCCTCTCAGCAGTCCTACTATAAGCCCTGGATGCAAATTCTGCTGCTGGTTAGAGCACATTAATTGGAGTAACAACTATGGACTTTGTTATGAAGCAAGCCCTTGGGGGTGAGTCATACAGTCAAAGAACATAAAATGCCAATGTTGCAAAAGACTTTAGAATATAGATCATAAGAGCTAAAAGGGGGCTTCCAACATATTCAGTTGAAGTTTCAAAGAATCTAGAAGCTGTCTGGGTCCCATTTGGAACCTCTCACTTTACAGAGGGGAAACTGAGGCCCAAAGAACAGATGTGGCTTGACCAAGTTAGTAGCAAAGCTAGACTAGAATTCATGTTACCTGATTTCCAGTCCTCCTAATCTACCCACATATGCAACCCCACTTATAAAACAAAAAATTATATCCAACAAACATGTGTTAAGCACATATCACATACAAGACATTATCCAGGGCGCTGGAGTTGAATAGATGACGAACAATGCCATCCCTGCCTCAAGAAGTTTATGGGGCCAGGGAGGAAGGGAATACAGCATATAAATGAGGATAGTTTGGCATGACTTATTCTTAGTAAATCCATGTTGGCCCTTTGTGATTGCTGAAAGCTTTTCTAAATGTTCACAAACCATCTATTTAATAATCCAGACTTGAATTTTTCCTAAAATGACCATCTGGTTTATTGTTCTGCAGCTACTAAAATCCACCATTTTCCCCAGTTATTAAAAAGCAAGGCCACATTTGCCCATCTCTGCTGGCACCTCTCCCATTTTCCATGATTGCTCAAAGGTCCCGAATACTATTATCTTACACCTAGAAACTCCTTCAGCCCCCTAGGATGTAACCTACCTGGTCTGGAGGCAGCAATGCATTCTAGCTAGATGCTCTCTTCTTATCTCATCCTCTATCCTGGGCTAAAATTTCCTCCTTAGAATGTTTTGTTCAGGTTCTTATCATCTCCAGCCTGAAATATTTTGAGTAGTCTCTTAACTGTTCTCCCTTCTTTGAGCCTCATCTCTCCTCATCCTCCACATAGTTACCAAAATAATTTTCCTCCACTGCTCAACCATTTTCAGTGGCTCCCTTTTGCCTTGAGGATGAAATGTAAACTCCTTAAAATTAAATTTAAAACTTTCCACAATCTGGTTCCAGCTACCTTTCCAAGTATTTCATTATACTACTGTTAATGCATTCCACATTCATTCAATCAACAATTAGTAAGTATTGGGGCAGCTAGGTGGCACAGTGGATAGAGCAGTGGCCCTGAAATCAGGAGAACCTGAGTTCAAATCTGTCCTCAGACCAAACACTTAACACTTACTAGCTGTGCGACCGTGGGCAAGTCACTTAGCCCCAATTGCCTAAAAGCAAAAACAAAAAACAAACAAAAAAATATAAATAAATAAATAAAAACAATTAGCAACTATTTATTAAACTCTTGTTATTTGACAGGAATACAAAGACAAAAACAAAAGAGTCCCTGCCCTTACATAGTCTAATATCTAGCTAGGGAGACAACACATACATATATAGGTATATACAAAATAGATACCAGGCGATTTTTTTTCGGTGGACAAAGATCTAACTTGGGGGAAGGGAGATGAGGAAAGTTTTTCAAGTAGAATGTGGTAATGTCATTTGAGTTTTGAATGAAACTGGGGATTCTATGAGGCAGAGATAAGGAGAGAGTGAATTACAGGTTTGGGGACAGCCAATGTAAAGGGAAGGATGCATCCCCTCCAAGGTGGCCTCCTTGCTGCTTCACAAACTCAACATTCTATCTCCTATCACCAAGTCTTCCAACAGATTGTCCCATACTTGAAATGCACTGCTTCCTCTTCTCCTTCTCCTCTGAGTATCTCTAGTTTCCTTCAAGGTTCAGCTAAGGTACCAACCCCTATGTAAAGCCTTTTTTGGAAATGATAATGCTTCTTGAACTACCTATGTCTTAGATCTGTGGGGAGTTCCATATAGAGGTGAGGAGGCAGGGATGGCTATCATTATTAATAACAGGCACGGCACCCACATTCATTGACTCTGCCATACTAAAAGTGTCCTAAGTCCACATCCTATAAAAAGTGATATTTGAGGACCCTGTATATTACAGAGTAGCAATTCTCATTCATATTTCAAAGATGGGGAATAGCTGCCTATTCATAAGATCTTTCATCCATGACCTATGAGTTTATATATAAATGGTTTTCTTCTGTGAATTCCAGGGGACCAACAGAAATGCCCAGAGTCAATAGAGCATACTTATTGAATAGAACTTGTAAACTCTGAGATACAGGAGCGTGCGTGTGTGTGTGTGTGCGTGTGTGCATGCGTGTGTGTGTGTGTGTGTGTGTGTGTGTGTGTGTGTGTGTGTGTGAGAGAGAGAGACAGAGAGAGAGAGAGAGAGAGACAGAGAGAGAGAGAGAGAGTCTAAGATGTCATACTTTTGGTACTGGTTCCAAATTGGACAGTTTGGTTTGTCACAGATTTTGAGAACTGGAAAGGACCTCTGTGGCGATCTAGTCCATCTCATACACACAAAGGACTCCCCACTAAGATATATATTCAACAGATGGTTGTCCAGTCTTTGCTTAAATACCTTCAAGGAAGAAGACACCTACCAATTTTCTAGGCAATTCATTCCATTCCTGGACAGCTTTCATCATTAGGAAGTTGTTTTTGTTTTCTGTCATCAAGGCAGAATTTGCCTCTTTGCAACTTCCATCATGTGCTTCTGGTTCTGCCCTCTGGGGTCAAACAGAACAAATCTAGTCCCTTCTCCATGTAATATATGGTCCCTAAAATACTTGAAGACAGCTATCATGCCCCACCCCACAAGTCTTCTCTTCTCCATGCTCAACCAGCCTAGTTCTTTCAAGTGATTCTCATATGGCATGTTCTCAAGGCCCTTCACCATTCTGGTTGCCTCCTCTGAATACTCCAGCTTATCAATACCCTAAAACCACAGCTCCTAGAACTGAATACAATACTCCAGATGAGGTCTGATAGGAACAGATTATAGGGTAACTATCTCCTACCTGTTCCTAGAAGCTGTGCCCCTTCTACAGCCCAAATCACATTAGCTTTTCTGGTTGCCATGTCATGCTGCTAACTCCTATTGAGCTTGCAGTCCACTAAACCCCCCAGATCTTTTTCAGAATATCTGTTGTCTATCCATGTTTCCCTCATCTTAACCCTATGAAATTGGGAAGTTTCCCTGATGTAAAACTTTACTTTTATCCTTATTGAATTTCACCTTAACTAGACTGAGCCCAATGCTCTAGCCCTTCAAGAGAGCTTTGGATCCTGATTCTGCCATCCACTGTGTTAACTATCCCTCCCAGCTCAGCTTGGTGTCTTTTGCAAATTTGATGAGCATAACATCAATGCTTTTATTCAAGTCACTGATAAAAAATGTTAAACAGCATAAGGACAAGCATGGATCCTCAGTGGGTAGCCACTTTGTTTATAAATCAAAACTGGGAAGCAGCATTGTGTTGTGGATTTGGGTCAGAAGCTGAATCTTGGCTCTGCCACTTACTATCTATGTGACCTTGGGTAAGTCACACCTCTTTACTGGATCTCAGTTTCTTCAACTATAAAACGAAGAGGCTAGGGGCAACTAGGTGGTGCAGTGGATAGAGCCTTGCCACTTACGAGCTCTGTGGAGTCAGGAGGACCTGAGTTCAAATCTGGTTCAGATACTTGATACTTACTAGCTGTGTGACCCTGGGCAAGTTACTTAACCCCAATTGCCTCACAAAAATGAAAATAAAATGAAAAGGTCCCTTCCAGTTTTTTATCCCATGATCCCCCTATTATTAATGCTCTCTATCCTCTGGATTTTCATATTTACTTATCCATGTATATGTTGTATTCCTCCTCTACCCCAACTGGAACATAAGCTTCTTGAGGACAGAAAGTGTTTCATTTTTGGCTTTCTATCCACAGCACCTAGCATAATGCCTTGCATGTAATAGATACTTAATAAATGTTTGTTGAATTGAGTTGAATTGTTTTTGCTCTTTCCCAATTTGAAGACCATCCTTCTTGCTGGAAAAGATGATAGAAGAATTGAAACCAATTAGGTCAACTTCCTCATCATCTATTAGCATTATGCCATCTTCTATAAACAACTCTAAATATAGCTTCAAAAACCTTAGCATTTTTGAGGGGCTTCAGCACTTTCTGGGCTTGAGCCTTCCTAACCCTATTTTTATCAGTCCCTGTGCAATAATGTAAACCTGGGCAAGAAAAGGGACCAAGCCCTTTGTGGTGCAATCACAGAAAGATTCAAATCAGGAGAATTGGGCTCAATCCCATTTACGAGCTCTGTGACACTGCACACATCAGCCTCTTTCTATGTGCCTTAATTTCTTCATGACAGGGTTGGTGTGGATAGTGTCTAAGGGCCCTTCCAGCTCTGATAGTCAGTGATTCCATAAATCTACTTCTTTGTGAATTAGAATATATAAGTTCTACTGTCACTTTGACAGTCATTGACCTTAACTGACTGGCTCATGATGTTATTAATTGTGGCCCCTTCTCTCTTTCTCTCTTCTCCTGCCACCAAAGCTTGCCTGACTTGGCCTGGCCTGGCTTGAATGCCTCCTCAACTCACCCAAAGGCAGAAATTTGATGTGGTTTTTTTTCCTTTAAAAACAAGAAGGTAAAACACAACAAATATGCAGAGCAGAGAACTGCCATTTTAGAGCTCAGGAATCACAGCATCACAGCATTTCAGGACTTCAAGGGACCTTAGAACATAAAATGTCAGAAGCTGAAGGGCCCTCAGAGATCATCTAATTTAACACTTCATAGATAATGAAACTGAGAACCATGGAGGTTAGGTTATTATATTATAATACTATTATATAATACTATACAATATTATAAAAGTAGTAATGGTAGTAATTGAACCCAGGTTTTCTGACAAGCTGAATGTTCTCTCTACTATACTGGGCTGCCATTCCTGCCCCACTCTCAATTCCATAATCTCACTATTCTGGAAGATACCACTTTGAGGACACGTAAGTCCAATTTCTATCCACTCCAGATTTGGAGCTGTCCCTGATGCATGGCCATCTGCCATCTTATTTTAAGGGAATCCCTACCTCCCACCCTGAGCACACTCTTCCCCTGATCCCAGTGATCATCCAACATTCAGGTTCTATTTACCATTCAAAGCTAATACCTTCCTGGTCATTCTCATTTCTTTCAAGAGCCAAATGTACTAATTACCATAATTCAGTCCTCCAAAGCTTATTTGTCATGATTTACCTTACTCTACTTGGGAATTTAAATAAATAAATAAATTTAAAGATTAAATAAAATAAATATTAAATTAAATCCCACACATACACATACATGTACACACAGTCATACTCTTACTCAGTTCCTAGTGGTTACATGCCTTTTGTCCAAAAATGGAATGAGCTGCCTTAGAAAGTGGTAAAGGATAGAACAATGATTGTAAGGTCTTCAGATGAAGTCTTGATTGTAAATTTTCAGGGATAGAGATGGTATTCCTGTTCAGATGGAAATTGAATTAGACAACTATTAGATTGATTCCAATGCTTTGGTTCTATGATTCTATTTTTGTTCTTGTGTTTAATAAATCTAAGTTTGTCTAAGTTTGAGAGTTCTTTGTGTGGTTGCATCAGACTTAAGAGAGCTCCCTCTTTTTTTTCCTCATTGGAATCATTCATGATTATTCTTTCACAATCTAATTATTGAAAGCCTCTAATCCTTCTTTATACAGCCTCAGCCAAGGCCTCATATCCACCATTTCTCTGAATTTTTCAAAATGTTGTGCATTTATGAAGAATATGCTCTTCCCTCACTTTTACAAACTCCAAGATGACAAGGTCATTCCCTTCCAAATTTCTAGCATTCCCACTTCACCAACCAATTCCTCTTTGTTGGTCAGAATTCTTTTCTACAGTACCTGTTCCTCTCCTTGTCTCCTCTACCTTCTGAGTCTACTATGATATCCTTTAAATGGCTGGGCAGTCTATAATACATGTTCACAAGGATATCACTTCTGTTTTTCCTCTCCTTTGATCCTCAAATAAGCTCCCTTGTCCCTTCAGATTCAAAAATCTTCTTCATATAGGTGTATGATCTTTTCTAACACATGCAGCACACTATCTCTCCCCTTCTATTAGATCTACCTTACCAAACTTCTCTCTGTTCCACCTTCTCTTCCTCCATCTGTCCCTCCCTTAGTCTTCTATCTATCTTTCCATCTATTCCTCATTGGACCCTTTCCTTTCTCCTTACCTTCCTTCGTTCATTCTTCTATTCCCCCATTCTTTCCTCTGTCCATCCTTCCTTTTAGCCCTTTTTCCATACCTTCCTTCATGCTTTTCTCTAGTCTTTTTTCCTTCCATTTCTCATTGCATTCCTCCTTCTAGCTGTCCTTTCCATTGCCCCTCTGTCCCTCTCTTTATCCATCTGTTGTCTCTCAGTTCCTTCTTCCCTTCTCCCCTCCCATGTTCACTCCTAGCCCCCCCTTCCCTCAGATTGATTCTAGTCTTCTCTCCTACTGTTCCATAGGGGCCACCAAAGACATGGGGAAGATGTTGGGGGGTGAGGAGGAGAAGGACCCAGATGCCCAGAAGAAGGAGGAGGAGAGGCAGGAGGCCTTACGACAGCAGGAGGAAGAACGCAAAGCCAAACATGCTCGCATGGAGGCAGAACGGGAAAAAGTCCGGCAGCAAATTCGAGACAAGGTCAGTCTGTCCTTCCCACTTCCTTTCCCTTCCCTTTCCCAAGTATTATCTGTAATAACAATCACCATCCCTCATATCTGCCATAGGACTTCATAGTTTACAAAATACTCATTTGATCTTCACAAAAAAAACCCAAGAGAGACAGGGTCAATATTAGTATTCCCATTTTATAGATATGGAAACTGAGGCTTAAAGAGGAGACTAAATTTTTTCAAGGTCACACAGTAACCTAAAACCCTGTTCCAATGCTCTTTCTCATAAACTGAGCTGGTTCCATGATTTTTGGAAATAGAACATTTCATATGCTCCCAGTACAGCTCACTCCCTTCTCACCCCTGTACTTAATCACCCCTAGAGCAGCATAGCTTCCTATGGGAAGTCCTTGGAGAGCAAGTTCCTGGACAAGGGAATCCTGTAGTCACCTCTTAAGCTGGAAGACCCCTCACCCCTTCCCCAACCCAATGAGGCCCCCCCTTTAACCTTGAGAAACAGGATTGGATTGAAGTCAGAGAACCTGAGTTTGAATCCTGCCCCTGCCACTTACCACCCATGCCACTGACCTTGTCTGGGCCTCAGTTTCCTCCTTGGTAAAATAAAAGGATCAAACTAAATGACCTCTAAGTTCTCTTCCTACTCCTGTTATCTTAATAAATAAGCCAGGTCTCAAATGGCAAAGACACAGGTGCTTGGAAGAGTCAAAGATGGCCTGGCAGGGGAGAATGGAGAGGGCCTTACAGCTGGGCACCCCCTTTGCCCCTTCTTCCTCCCTATACAGTATGGCCTGAAGAAGAAGGAGGAGAAGGAGGCTGAAGAGAAGGCCGCCCTGGAGCAGCCATGTGAGGGCAGCCTGACCCGCCCCAAGAAAGCCATTCCAGCTGGTTGTGGGGATGAGGAGGAGGAGGAAGAAGAGAGCATCCTGGACACCGTTCTCAAGTACCTACCTGGGCCTCTCCAGGACATGTTCAAGAAGTAACCCTGGCCCAACTCCATCCCATTCTCAACAGTCCCATTTTTGTTTTTAATTTTTATTCCACTTTTCCATTCAGTATGAATTTTGAAGGGCAAACCTCATTTGGCCTCACCCCACACATACACCTCCACCCCTCACATGGACTGTGGGACCCAAGCCCCTCATCTTTGGCCGGAAACTCCCAGGGCCCCCTCCCTGTTCAGTACTGTCCCCTGACCCCACAGTGCCCTGGGCCTCTTGAGGAGCCCTAGGGAAAGAAGGCCGCTGGCCTGGGCTGAGGGCCAGAAACTAGGACCAAACCATTGATGACCTCAGGAGAGGCCCGGGATGTGCTGAAGTGGGAGGAAAGGCCTGACCACTGAGTCCCACATGCACACACTCCTCCCGAACCTCTTCCCACCAGGAACATTCCTCATGCCTTGAGCATGATTTCCACTGCCACAGAAGGGAGAGAGGGCCAGGCCAGTGGGTCCTAGGGGAAGGAGTCAGAGGAGAAGAGGGTCAGGTTGCCTATTCTTTCTCCTCTACTCCCCTAGAGATCACTGGAACTCTAAGCCCTGTTCCCCAACCCCAATGGGTCAAAACACCCACACATTCCAGTCCTGCCCAACATAGCCCAAGGATGAGGGGGCAAGGGCCAATGTTGGACCCTTCACTAGGGAGCCCATCAGCCAATCCCAGAGGAATGTGGAGCAGATCTCTGTTCCTTCATATCTCCCTAGGCCTCCTCAATCTCACATCAGTTCCAGGGACTCAGCCCACTGTGGTAAGAACAGCCCCTCCCAGCCTAGTCCCTCCCTGTTCCTGGCTAGACCTGGGAGTGGCAAGGAAGATCAACTGACTGTGGGAGGTATCATTAGAGTCTCTTAGTCCCCAACCCTAGCCTTATTCCCTTTTCATCAATGACCTAGATAGGACCAGAAGTATAGGGAGGGTCAGAGAAGGGCCTGTGCCCTAACCAAAGGAGTATTCTGGAGTTCTAAGGGGCCACTGGGTAGAGATCAGGCAGAGTACTACCAGGAAGGTTGACTCCCATTGCCACAAATATGGCAGCCTGGCCTTTCCCTTGTCAGTGGAGCAGATCTTTCCCACAGGGCAATAAAAGGTTGCCCCTGGGATACCACTGTACCCTAGGAAGCTTCCACCCTCCACTCATATCTTTGTGGCCACTGTGGAGCCTAATCTGTAAAGGGGGTAGCTTGAGCCCTTCTCTCCTGAAAAGGCATGCTAGGCCCTCCCTCCCCCAGCCTGGGGTCCTTACCTTAACAGGATAGCCCCTTCCAAATACACACTAACAGTTGGAGCCATCGAGCAGCATCAATCCTCAACCAGAGAACATCTAGTGGAGAGGACATGCTGCTCCCCCACCCCCCCAGCCCATCCAGGCGCTTCCAGGGCCCTGAGTGGACGACGTGTTCAGGAAGTTCCACTGGCCCCCAGGAGGACTCCCATAAGCAGGGCTCAGGCTGAGACACTGAAGGCAGGCTCACCTACAGTTTAGCCCTGGTCCTATGGGAGGAGACAGCCCCAGCTGAGCTGCTGCCCTCCCATTCTGGCTGAGGATCTGTCTGCCCATATGCTAAACCCCAAAGCAGGCATCTGTCCTTCCATCTATTGGTCTGTCTTGTGGCTAGGAAAAAATTCTCCTCTCAGACATGCCAAGGAAAGCCCTACCCACCCGACTTGAGCCTATCCTACCCTACCCTCCCATACCCAATACTCTGCCTCTCTGCCATTCTGAGAATTCCTGGGGCAGGGAGGATTGTGAACGTGAAAGTATGTATGAATGTGGGTGGAACGAGAGTGGTGGTGGCAGAATGGGTATGTCTATAGTTGGGATGGTGTGAATGTATGTGTTATAAATATGCATGTGTGTATGGATGTGTCAAAGATTGTATGTGTATCTTTTAGAGATTATTCTTATATGTGTGTGTATTAGAGATTGTGTTACAGACTAGAAGAATGCTAGGGATTCAAATATGTATGTACAGAGATTGTGTGGGTGTGTGTTTTAGAAAGTGTGTGTGCTAGAGATTGTGTGTCCATATCATAGATTGTCTATATTAGAGAGGGTGTGTGTGTGTGTGTGTGTGTGTGTGTGTGTTGGAAATTATGTGTTAAAAATGGCATGTATTAGAGAATGTTTATGTGTATGGGGAGGGGTGTTATTACAGGACTATGTTTCTGCGTGTGTGTGTGTGTGTGTGTGTGTGTGTGTGTGTGTGTGATAGACAGAGAGAGAGAGAGAGAGAGTGTGTGAAAATGCATGTATAACACTGCAGGCTGGCTAGATGACTGAGAGTGGTAGCAGGGACTGGGAAATATCTTTTCTTCTCCCTTAGACCAATCAATTCCTACCCATCACCATTCCTGGAACAGAGATGAGAGGAGAAGTTTTTCCTACAAGTCCAAGACTTTCCCTCTTCCCCTGGGCTCCCTGAGCCAAGCCTTTGCCATCCTCCTCCCTCACTGGATGTGATGGGGAGAATCCTATTTGGGTCCTGGGAAGCACTTGGCAGCTCAGACTGGTCTGGGTGGCCATGGGAGGAACAGGACTGTCCTTTGTCCCTATAACAGAGAAGCCATGCTGGATATGGGGTGGAAGAGGGAGATGCCTCAAAGAGGGTTGCTATGCCCGCCCCTCGCCGCCCCACCACCACTTTTCACCATCACCCCAGTTTGCATACTGGGGTGTTTCATTTTAGAGAATTTTTCCTTTAATTTCAAAAGAGAAAGCAGCTCACATCGTGTCTTCTCTGTCCGTTTCCAATAGTTAAAGCCATATCAGTTAGACTGCAATACTTTAAAGATGAGGGGAAAAAAAAAACACAGATTTAAGAAAACCAGAAAGGGAGTTTTGTTCATCCCCTCTGTCCTGGGGTGATCTGTTTCTACAGCCCCCAGGTCTTCCCTTCCCCCCAACTCCCAACTCCTTCCCCTGCCTCTTTGTGCCCTAGTCTCTGGCCCCCAGGGTCATATATTTGTGAGTGTGTCCATGTATGTCTCTGTAATGGGGGAAACAACCCCCTCAACTGCTGTATCACCCCATTGTTGTCTCTGCTTGTCCATGGTTGCTGGAGTAAGATGGTCTCCCTGCAAGGTCTTGTGGAGCCAGAAGTGAAGGGTAAACCGGGGCTAAGGGGGTGTTGAGCAGAAACTGAATAGTCCTTTAGCCATTTGCCTCTCTTAAGAGAATGTAGTGGTTCTTGTCATCTGTCATTATCATGAGCTCCAGGGAGAAATATCAGAGGTTCCTTTGACTTCCAGGGACCAACCTCAATGTGTGTATCTTCAGGAAAAGAAAGAGGTCTGATAATTCTCAGCCAAACATAGGGTCTGTAGACATGCAAGGGGATGCCCAATTATAAGAGGTCCAAAGTTCTTCAAAGGAATTCCCAGACACATGGTGGGGGGAAGGGGGTGTCCTACAGAAATACAAGGGGATTCCCAGTTGTGCATACAGAGAGAATCCAAATCACACAAGGAGTCTACTGACATATAAGGGGCTTCCCAAGAGTACAATTGGGTTTGAAATCAGGAAAAAAAAACTTTAACAGAAAAAGAAAAGGTCTGCAAACATATATAAACAATTTCTGGGTGTAGAAAGAGTAATATACCTACTTAGTGGAAGGAATCCCTGGAGCCTTCAGCTGCCTAGGGCCTTCTCCTTCGGAAAAGCCTGTCTAGACTCCCAAAGTACCCCCTTCTTCTTCCCCAGGGCACAGGACTGCTGCTACTGCTGTTGCCACAAGCCAAGCAGAGCTGGGCCCTTGAGGGTAGCTAGTTCTCCACTAAGACCTTTCCACATACATACCAGACCTCCTACAAGTTCAAGACTTAACCACTAGTTGCCCTGGAAAGCCCCACCACCCCCAAGGTGCTGGCTTCCTTGGGGACCACTCCTAAGAAATAGGAGAAAGGGGAAAGATACACCCCAGGAGACTGTTTCTAGAGGGCCTAAGAACTGTAACTCTAATCCCAGTCAAGCTTTGCCCAATCCAGGCATCCCCAGGGGGCAGATCAAGGAGGGATCTGGAGATGACATAATGTATGCATGTCACATAGGCCCCTGGGAAAGGGGTGCCATGTAGGTAGCACATTGTTAGGGGGATATAAGTATGGCATGTAAATTAAGAAATGTGACAGACATGTATGTCACTTACACTGACTACAATAGCTGATTGTAAGACATTACCTAGAGAAGGCATATGTATGTGTGGTACACCGGAAGGGGGAGGAGGTGATATATGGAGCACAGTCTGAGAGGTTACCTATGTTTGCATCCAGTGCATGGACTGGAGAATTTATGTGTGTGTGTGTGTGTGTGTGTGTGTGTGTGTGTGTGTGTGTGTGTGTGTGTATGTGTGAGAGAGAGAGACAGAGAGAGAGAGAGAGAGAGAGAGAGAGAGAAAAGAGAGAGAAAGAGAGAAAGAGGCTAGCTGTGGAGGGTGGCAGTAGTTAGTGCATGGCACACTACTTGGGGGCAGGGCCTAGCTTAAGACAAACTGTTTCTAGCTTCCCAGCCCAGATAAACAATGAGATAAAATCTGCTGACAAGGCACAGTGTAGGTAAATGGGAAAAGAGAAGGAGAATACATACTGCCATCCATGGAAATCCGTTGGCACTTGATAATAGAGAATGTGACATACGCAGGATCCCCACCTGGGAAAACTCATTGGTGATTCAGGAAACCAAGTGCATGTAGCAGAGAGGAAGGTGTAGCTAGCATGTGTGCATAAAGTGAATGTGTTCAGAACAGTGCAAAAGCAGAGTTTGAGGGAAAGCCCTCTGCCACCCTTCCCTGGCCAAGAACCGTCAGCTAAGAATGAGAAATAAAGGCCAGCTTTGTCTAGACCCCCAGACCTCCCATTTGGGTTCTGATCTGAAAGGCTGGTGGATGCCATATCTAAAACATGGGGTATCTGACAGATGCAGGACCCCAATGCCATACTTCTTTAGGCAATAAGTCTGCCCCTGGCAGCCTGGTTCCTGAGATCCATACAGAGAGACAAGAGATAGAATAGCGAGACTGATAGCCATACCCTGCCCTTAATCCAAGATGTAGACTCACATCTCCAGGACTAAGTCACTTGTGAGTGGCTCTGGCTCCAGGAACCTGAGAAGAAGAGAAGGGATCTCAGGAAATAGTTTTAAAGGCAGGGAGTAGCCTCCCTATTCATTGGATCCATCTGGAAGCTGGGGGCAGGACCCTATCCCCCCATTTCTGGACCCTTTACCTCCACCTTCCCCAGAGGCCCTTAGTCCTGGTCCCAGGGGAAGAAGTGTGTGGTGGGGGGGCCTTAGACCAGGCTGAGTGACCATCTTGCTTTCCATCAACCTCAGAGACAATCCAATCCCCAACCCTCTTGTGTGTAATTGTGTCCTTGTGGCCCTGCATCCCCTGAATGTGTCAGTGCCTGGGGGAAGGGGGGCCCTCTCCCACCCCCTCGAAACTGACCTAAAGCCATGGCTGCCACTACCCCCATCCCCATTCCCAACTTTGTATGACGCAAAAAGCTAACTACAGATGTACAAAATCAACTGCGACCAAGAAAAGACATTGTACAGCTCTCCATGTGTCTGTCTCTGTCTATCCAGTGATTGTGGGAAATGGGGGGGGGATGGGCATGGTCTTGTAAGACAAGAGAGAAGGTGGGTGGGGCAGGAGGGCAGACCTTCTCCAGATATAGAAGGAACCTCAGGAAGTGATTTTACGGTTACAAAGAAATGCCCCCAGGACAGCAAGACCATCAAAACTGAAAAGTATCTGAGACCATTTAGTCATGAATGTGATTCACAGAGCTATTACGGCTATTCAGTCCAACCCATATCTCAACAAGGATCTGTTCTACACATACAATATAGTCAAATTTCCTCATTATTATCATAGTATTAGTCTCTCTATATAAAGCACCCTCCCTTTTTATAATGTTTGCAAAGTACTTTATATCCATTATCTCATTTAGTCCAGATAATGACCTCTGTTGTGTGTTATCATTGTTTCCATTTTACAGATGGGGAACCTGAGGACCAGAGAGGTTAAATAATTTGCCCCAGCTCACACAGCTAGTAAGAATCTTAGGTAGGATTTGAACTTGGGTCTTTCTGATTCTAAGTCCAATGCTCCATCCACTATAGCCTTATACAAAGAGGGAAACTAAGGTTCAGAGGAGAAGGAGAAAGGACTTGGCAAAGGTCACACAGTTTACTTAGTGGTAGAGCTCAGATTGAAATCCAGCTCTTCTAATTCCAAATTCAGTGTTCTTTCCACTATATGACACTGCCTTCCTCTTCTGGAATTTGTGAGAGTTACCTCCCTATGCCCCACAACTTTGATAGTTGCGTGTTGTTATGGAAGGAACACAGATGTGGGAGCAGAAGCCATGGGCCGGAATGCTAACTACCTAGGTGACTTTGGATCTATGAAATGCTCCCTAAGGTTCCCTTCGGGTCTAGGCCCTAGAATCCCCATGATCCTCTGGTAGCCAATGCCTGGGGGCTTCTGGGCTTCCAGACCCTCACTCGGGCACCTTCTTTCCTCTTTTATCTATAGAGGCAAAACAGAGTTGAAAGATAATTTTGGCTTGATTATTCAGGGAGGAAGTAACAGAAAATACAAGAACTAGAAGAATTATAAGAGGCATAAAGTAGCCATTTCAAGATAATCCTGTTCCAAGGGCAGTTAAGTGATGTGGTGGATAGAGCGCTGGGCGTGAAATCAAGAAGGCTCAGATCTGGTCTCAGACACTGCCTAGCTGTGTGACTTTGGGCAAATCATTTCACCCTGTTTGCTTCAGTTTCCTCATCTATAAAATGAGTTAGAGAGTGAAATGGCAAACCACTCCTATATCTTTGCCAAGAAAACTCCAAATGGTGTCACAAAGAGTCAAAATACAACTGAAAAATGACTTAACCACAAAAATCATCCCCAGAATCACAGAATGATAGATTTAGGAGTGGAAGGGGGACCTTAGAGGCTTAGAGATCCTAAATTCCAACCTGTCATTTTACAAAGGAAGAAGCTAAGAATCAGAGAGGTTAAATGACTTGCCCAGAGTCACACAAATCTATAAATGTTGGAAGTAGGATGTGAACAGCAATCTTCTGATAGCTGCTAAGTTAAAAGCTATTAACAAAAAGGCTAGTAATGTGAAGAAAAGAACCTTCCTGGGTTAAGAGATCAGAGTTCAATTTGTGATCCAAAAGATGAAGCAGGGGGCTTCTCAGGGCAAGCCAGAGCTCCGTAGGGCAACCAAAGCCAGGAAGCCAGGAAAGGAATGGAAAAGGCTTTCCCAAAGCTTGGAGGAAGGGGGAGTTGGCAAAGAGTAAGACAGAACAGCTGAAACACAGTAAGTGGTGACATCACAGACTGTATGTCTCATGCAACAACGAAATTATTTTATGGTCGTAGGGCCTAGCTCAGCTACAGCCCTCGGTCAGGAAGATTTCTTTCGGTATAGTGTTCAGCTACCCTAACCCCATCAAATTGCTTTCTCTCTCTCTTCTGAAGGAAAAGGGGTAAAATCTTAAAGCAAGTCACCAACCTGTCTGTGGTTAGACAACAATGGGTCACTAATTGCTAGAGACCCTAATGCCTTTTTCTAAAGAACTTTACAAATCCAGAAAGGCTTATCCTTAGCTCTGTAAAGACAAGAAAAGAAGGTAATTTCCATCTAAATTCAAAAAATCCCTAAAGAGCCATTTCCTCTAAGCCTTTCAAGCTATTAAGAACAGTGGGTTCTCAAAAAAAAAAAAAAGAACAGTGGGTTCTATTTCTGTACCACCTTACAATTTTCCAAACACTGGCCTCTCAACAATCCTCAAAA